CATTTCGCAAGATCCCTGGATACCGTCAGTGAGACAAGGAAAATTATTACACCACCGGGGGCAACCTTACTGTCAAAGGTTGAGGAGCTGATTAATCCACACTCCGGTCAGTGGGATGAAGATCTAATTCGATCTGTCTTTAACCTGATCGATGTCATCAGAATTCTGCAAATTCCATTACGGGTGGAGATAATTGAGGACCTTGTGTCTTGGCATCATACTAGATCGGGAACATTCTCTGTGCGGTCTTCCTATCATGTTGAATTTGAACACCAACATGGATCGCACTTGAGGAGAACTGATGGACAGGGAAGCATGCAAGTGAATGACATTTGTAATAATACTTGGTGCCTTCGAGTACCAGGGAAAATAAAACATTTTACTTGGAAGGTACTGAGAGGAATGTTGCCGTGTTTTGGAGTGCTTGCTAGTCGTCATATCCCACTCATACCACAATGTCCGATGTGCAAAATTGGGATGGGAGATATCCATAATTGTTTATTTTCATGCACGAGGATGAAAGCAATCTGGGCAGAGTTAGCATTGGCGGAGCACATTGAAAAGGCAGTGACAGAAGATCGATATGGATCCGTGACTATGGAAATCCTTGAGAGACTTGAGTCCAGTATTGGTGAACTTTCGATGGAGAACTGGTGGTTGTAGTAGCTTGGTACATATGGTGGCAGCGACGCTAGTTCGTGCGAGGGGAGTCTAGTCAATCACCTGAATGTACTGTTGTAACTATTAAAGTCTTGGCTACAAACTTTGTGCGAGCATCGACCCCGAAGCAACCAACGAGGAAAAGAGAACACATGTGGCAGAAACCTATTCATGGTTATGTCAAGATAAATGGTGATGCTTCCTTCCAAGCCGAAACTCTCTCAGGTTCAATGGGATCAATTGCACGAGATGATAAAGGAAACTATATTGTTGCTGCTTCATGGTTCATACCTCATGTGAACAATACTACTTCTGCAAAAGTGTGTGCCATTAGGAATGGACTGATCATGGCAACCAATATCAGATGCAGCAAGGTAATTGTGGAATCTGACAGCACAAATGCGGTGGAGATGGTGATCCAAAGTGATGCCTATCTTGGCGAGGAAGTGGTCACTGTTATGGAATGTAAAAATCTCAGTTCTGAATTTGCAAAGACTTCCTTCATCAACTGCTTTCGAGAGGCAAACCAAGCTGCAGATTGCTTAGCAAAACATTGTTGTAACTCTAGATCTTCTTCTTTCTGGGAATCCTTGATCCCGGACTTTATTTCTCACCTTATTGTAAATGATTTGGCTGTTATATGAGAAATAAAGTCTTATTGCTTTCAAAAAAAGAAACTCCCTCCAGAGTGCCACAAGGCAAAAAGTGCGCTTTGGGAAACAATGCGCCAAGCTCTGGGCCGCTATCAATGGAGATGAAAAATTAGAAAATACAACAAAAAATGCATTTACAACATGGAAACTGGGAACACATAGTCACCGAGGCAGTTTCTCTAGCAAGAATGATCAGAGGGCAAGGGCAAGCCTTAGTAGAGCAGAAGCAGGACATGATCAATGGACGGGGAGCGGAAACGGCAGCTACTCCACCAGTTCGGCATACAAGACTCGGTTCAATGGGACCCCCTCCACACACATGAAGAACACAATATGGAAGGTATGGGCCCCTGCAAAGATTAAGATCTTCTCATGGCTGCTCCACTTGGATCGACTCTGGTGCAATGATAGACTGCAACGACGCGGATGGCCAAACTCCTACTTCTGCCCCTTCTGCAGAAGACTTGGAAACATCAGTTCACCTGTTCTGGAACTGCCATATCTCCAGGGCAGTGTGGGCTGAAGTTGCAACGTGGAAAGGTTGTGCTTCATTAGCCCCCCAGCAAAGGGAGCAGACATCCACATCTTCAACGACCAAGCAAATCATATCCTGCACGAGCAAGGAGGAAAGGAAAAATACAAACCATGATCATGGCAACAATCTGGGAGCTCTGGAACACGAGGAACAATAGCATCTTCAGAGCAAAGGAAGTGGAAGCAACAAGTATCACCAGGGCGATCGGAGAAAACATGAAACAATGGCAGCTCGCTGGAGCCAAGGCCCTAGAGCCCCCGTTCGGGGATTTAGGCGCGAGATAAAACCTAGAGCCTATGAGAGCCCGGGGGGTGGGGGCGAAAAGCCACCCCTCATGAGAAAAATTTCCCTCTTCTTTCCTGTTATGTCTTTTTTATCGCTTTGATCAAACCTTGTATTCCTTCACTCCTCTGCTAAATCAATGCAAGCCAGCCGAGCTGGATCTTTCAAAAAAACAAAAAAAATTGCATGTACCCGCCTCTCAATGCTTGATGTTGATTTATTTGGCTTTTAGCCTTGATTTACTATATTAATCCTTCCCATGCAAAAAAAATACTATATTAATCCTTCCTGGAGTTGCTCGTCCGCGAGAGAGGCAGGTCCCCAGCGTCAGCCCCGATGAAACAGTGTGGTACACTGCCACCACGCTCACTTGCCCTCGCCCCAAGAGCAGATCTAGACCAAACGCGGAGCTTGACCATGGTTCCTGGCTGCCTAGACTTCCCAGTGGCAACATCAAGCAGCGGCGAGGAGAGGGTGGGGGGAGGCCACTGGCGGATGGGGTTAGGGTCGAAAGGGGTTGGTTACAGCAGTGTTTTCGTCCTAATGGAATTTTTCCCACTATTAACCAAAAGCTTAAAGGAGATCTGGACTAGTGACCACCTACTTTACATTACAAGGCAGCCCCCAGCATGCTGCATGCAGCATCACTCTTTCATGTATATATAGGGTCATCCATCACACTGGGTCGTCCTAGTAGAACTTTTTTTGTGAAGATCACACTGGGTCGTCAGTAGAAATTAAGCTTAGCTAGCTAGAACAAAAATACCCGATTGAACAAGAGAGGAAGCAAAAGCACCGGAAAAAAATGATCACTGACATGTGTAGCCCATTTGTTAGATGGGGTATTAGGGATGGGTTTATGGGAGTACCTAGAACTCATCTAAATGAGATATAATTTGGTCTCATTCACTTTGAAAACAAGAACAAATACAACCCACTCAGCACACACGCATCTTATAGCATAACATCCAATGGCTATAAAATGTGAATGAGATCAAATTATATCTCATCTAGATGAGTTCTAGCAAAACTGCGGGTTTATTGGTGATTGCACCAACAGCACACATACAAGAGCAATGCTAGAGTTACGGAGGAAAAGCTACGCCCGTAAATGTAGCCCGTAACAACTCATCCGTAAGCATTTTTGCACATACAAATACCAATTTGTCTAAAAAAATACAAATACCAATAAATTTATTGGTAAATCCCCACAACCATTTATGGGGGGCACTTTTGTTTTGATAAAGGATGATTTTATTGACTCAAAATATAGCTGGGGCACTTTTTCTGTGCCAAACCGTAAGGTGGTGCTATATGCATGCACAGGCTGGCCGGCTCCACTTAATCAGGTTGGGACCTGCTCTGCGACCGAGTAAAGGGAAACACCAGGATTTCTCTAAAACAAAGCAAGGGATAGGAATCTTAAAAAAGGAAAAGGAAACCAAAAAAGAACATAATCCTGACAAAAACAATCAGTGGTACCGATATTACAGCGAACAGACATGGAAAGTCGAAAAATATTGTGCTTGAAGCTGCTAAATCGTATGGGTTCACCTTTAGCCTGAGATCACAGAGAACAAGAGACAAGAATAGCTCTAATAAAGGTAAAGGATAGAAGAATCTGAAAAAAAGAAGTAAAGAAGAAGACGATCGATTAATAAAGCTGTTGGCTGCCGGCCTCCCCTCTATTTTCGGCAGCTCTTCTACTGTTTGGCTTTCGTCTTAGGCTTCTGCTTTTGTAATTTTTCATTTTTGTCCCTCGCCGTGCGCCTTTCTGTAATTAACTGACTACACCTACGCGCTCAATCTCGAAAAGGCAATTCATCACATGCTCAATGAAATGTGTGATTTTTTTTTTTGCCTTTTCTCTATCTTACTCTCAAACTAACATAGCTTTGAGAATAACTAATCTGAGAAATGACTATCATAGAGTAGAGAGGGAACTGAGCTTTATTTGGGAACTCGTTTTTGAGCATTCTGGAACAAGCGGTGGATGTGGGCACCTAGATCAAATCCTGGCCTCAGAAGGTGTTTTCTTTTCTTCTTTACATCCCATCACATCTACTCCCTCCATTCCTAAATATTTGTCTTTCTAGAGATTTCAACAAGTGACTACATACGGAGCAAAATGAGTGAATCTATACTCTAAAATATGTCTATATACATCCGGATGTGGTAGTCATTCAAATCTCTAAAAAGACAATTATTTAGGAACGGAGGGAGTAAAATGCAATTCGTGTATGAGATACCAAGTTAGCAACCCCTGAGGAGTGCTGCTTCTATTACCAAGATTTCATTCGGGAAACCGAGATGGAAGGGTTTAATCTTACTTTCTTTAGGTCTGGTACATCCACTTATGAAGTTTGCTTCAAGCTTCTGATATATGCATGCACATGCTTCTCTGAATCTTGTTCTGAGCTGCACCTCAAACAAGCAATGAGAAAGCCAAGGATTGATCTAAAACAGAGCAAGGGATAGGAATCCGATAAATGAAAGGAAAAAAAAGCAAAGAAGAAGGTCATCATGATCAACACGTGGGTTGGGTATTGTGCTTGAAAATGCTAAGTCATATGTGTGCACCTTAACCCTGAGATCTCCACGAACAAGAGGCAATAATTGTTGCCCTAATTAACTGAAGATGCTAAGTCTAATGGATAATTTGCTGACTAATTAACCAAAAGATTAAAGGAGGACTGGACTGGTGCCCACCTACTTAACATCACAAGGCAGCCGCCAGTAGCACGACTCTTGCATCATGTATATATAGGGCCATCCATCACACTGGGTCGCCCTAGGAGAAATTATGCTTAGGTAGCCAGAAGAAAAAAATACCCGAGTGAAGAAGAGAGGAAGAAAAAAACACCGCATGCATGGGTCTCTCAGATGCAACGGTGCAGTGGTGGGATGAGTGGAAGCTACGCCTCCTCGTCTTGTGCAGCCTCTCTGTCCAGTTCTTCCTCAACTTCTCTTTTTGGGTGCGTATATGGCCCAGGCTACGGAGGTTGAGGGTGCTGGTGTGGATGGCGCACATAGGCGGGGATGCCTTGGCCATCTACGCTCTCGCCACCCTCTTCAACCGCCAAAAGCAGCAAACTGCGGACGGGGGGAGCGACGCTCTCGAGCTCATATGGGTGCCTTTTCTCCTCATTCACCTCGGTGGCCCGGAGATGAGTGCCTACAGCCTCGAGGACAATGAGCTATGGAAGCGGCATGCCTTAACTCTGGTATCCCAAGTCGCGGTCGCCTTGTACATCTTCTGCAAGTGGTGGTCCGGCCAAAAGATGCTCCTGCAGGCGGCAGTCTTGCTCTTTGTCGTCGGCATCCTCAAGTTCGGTGAGAAGCCATGGGCCCTTAAGAAGGCCAGCTTTAATACCATGGCCTCCAAAAGTTTGTCCACACCAAGAGAAGAAGGATCCCTCCCTCCATGTTGGAAATGGTGCACTTCGGATTGCACAGATTTTGCTTCAGCAAAAATGAAGGAAGAAGACCAGAGCAACCTTTCAATTGAAGACTATGTAAAAGAAGCAAAGGGGCTTGTCCTAAGCACGGGGGTACAAAGTGAAAGTGACCAAAAGACGGAGGTTGTCAAAAAAATTCCAGATGCAACGAGCTACACCTCTATGATGCTCGTGGACCTATCTACCAGGTACTCTCTTCGTCTTGAGTATCTGCGGTATTTCCTCACGATGGATGACAAGAATGGACACGATCTTTTACGGTTGTGGATTCTGAATACATTTAATGCCCTGTACACCAAAAGGGCATCAGCCAGTACTTGTTTTGGCTGCTGCTCTGGGTTATTGCTTCCTTTCCTGGTCTTAGCTTCCCTGGTGCTCTTCGCCAAGAGTGACAAGGATGGTTACAATGAGGAGGACATTACAGTATCATATATCCTATTCATTTGCACAGTTGTGATTCAGTTCGCACCCTTTTTGTGCGTGCCTTGCACCATTTGGGGCGCACTCAATATTGCTACTTGGCAAGACATGGTTTCACAGCACAACCTCATGTTATTTTGTGCTCGCAAGAAGCAGCCCACCACTTTGATGAAGCGTGCTACCTTGGAGTGTCTCAGAGAGTACATTAACAAGCAATGGTACACTTGGCAAGAGCCTGCGGCCCTCCAGATTGAAGGGTTGATTCGCCAGTACATACAAGATGGGTGGAAAGAGTACATAAGTGATAATGATCCCACCACATACAGAAGATTCAATAATCTCAGGGGACAGCGTACTCTGTTGAGGCACCCTCAGCTGGGACCGCAACTAGGTTGGAGCCTCGACCTGCCGTTCGACGAGATTGTTCTTGTGTGGCACATAGCCACAGATCTCTGCTTCCACACATCCTCCCAAGGTCAAAGTGGAGTCACCATCCAACATGCCAGGCAGATATCCAACTACATGATCTACCTGCTTTTCATATGTCCTGAGATGCTAATGCCAGGGACGAGGCAAGATTTGTTCATAATTGCTTGTGATGATATTGACCGCATTCTCACGGACCAGAAGGATCCACCAAGCATTGCACGGAGGATTCTCCTCATGGAACATGGTGAAGTTAAAGGAGTTGTACTTCCCAATGCACACAAACTCGCCAAGGAGCTCATGGCCCACCCCAACGAGGAACAGAGGTGGAAGGTGATCCAAGGTGTTTGGGTGGAGATGCTCTGTTATTCTGCCAGCAGATGCAGGGGCTACCTGCACGCCAAGAGCCTGGGTGAAGGTGGGGAATTCCTTACAAATGTCTGGTTCTTATGGTCGTTGATGGGAATGGAAATCTTGGGCGACAAGATCCACATACAAAATCAGCCTCTTAAAGAAGAAGGAATCATGGGTGCTCCAGTGTGAAATTACATTTTGGTTTCTTGTTCGAATCAAATGGTGTGTCTTCCTCCTCCTCTTCCTGTTGTGCTGATTTTCATTTCATTCCTTTTCCTAATTTGAGTTGAGTGTGCTGTTAGTTTTTAAACTTGGATGCTTTGCTTTCAATAAGAGGGCGTGAGCGTGCGGCCTGTGCACGTCGCGCCTTGTCGGGTGCGCGCCTGGTGTCGAGCATGTTCGCACCGGGTGATGTCATAGTGTTACAGCCGCCTGCGTGGTGCCTGATTCTAGCTGTGGGATGGCACAGCTAGAAAAGAATCATGGTGCGGAGCGAGCGGCTGTATCCTTCAGGGGTCTGTTTGATCTTGTTTTCTTGAGCTATTTGTGGGCCAACTTGTCTGCCACGACTGATTATGGTTATACGATTTCATCTGCTTATTAATTTGTTGTCAGCTGCCACAGTTCCACCAGTTACATTTAGTTTACATTTATTACTTGAGTTTGACAGAGTTTATCCGGAAAAATATCAACATGTACGACACGGAATCTATATCACTAGATCTGTCATGAAGTCTATTTTCATACTGGATTTATATGAAGTTAAAGATGATGTTAATTATTTTTTCACAATAAACTCGGTCGATGAGCCTTGTAAACCCGCCCGGAGGGATCACATCCATCTATAGAAATCTGCTCGGTCAAAATAACTGGTGCAAACTCGCCCAAAAAAAAAAACTGGTGCAAAAACAGAGTATCGTCTGAACTTCTGAAGTTATTTGCAGTAATAATGCAGAACAGCACACTAAAACCTAACCAAGAAGCCGGTGCACTGCGCCGCACAATCCCCTCTACAATCCACATTGTATCCCAAAACCTTTGGATTCCGTAAAAGAACACTCTGGAGAGTCTTCCCGTTTATCCCCCCGTCGCTGTCCAGCTTGCCGACATTCAGCTTCACCTTGCTCTCAAGATCGCATCGAAGAGCCTCTGGGAATTTCTTGAACAGCTTGTAAAGATCGTCGTCAGATAGTCCGAGGGCCCTGATGTAGTCCAGCACTCCATTTACCACCTCGGTACTCGGAACCTCCTTCTTTCTCTCCTCGGTCCAGTACGGCCAATGGATCCATCCCAACGCCTTCTTCAGCATCTTCTTGGCGTCTTCACTGGATAATTTCAGTGAAGTGAGTATCTTCTTGCACTCTTCCCATGTTTTGCGGTCACCGGCATCCACAACAGTGGCGGCCTGAGCTGGGTCAGATGACAGCAGGGCGCCCATCATTTTCTGTGAATCCTATTTGCGTTCTGCATTTTACCGTCCTGAATGTTTGGCTGGACACTTAATCTTGTTCCAAGTTTCTTGTTAGAAAGAATCCCACTTGAAGAAGTCGAGAGATCACAAAATAGAGGAACATAACATGAACCCCACTCACTCACAAGTCATTGGTGTGCATTAAGCTTCGCTTGCGAGCTGTAATATTTTTATGACGTTATTGCTACTTCGAGACTCTTTAATAAGATGGTTGCATGCATCGTTCTGATGCAGAGGCCGGGGGCAAGCCTCCATTTCCAAAAAAAAAAAAAACCATCACATCTTACGGGTTGGGTTGAAAGTAGAAGGCCGGCGGATCAGAATCCTCAGTGGCCGTCAGGAGGGGCAGCGCCGGCGACCTGGACAACATCCTGCATAGAATAGGCCGGGGGATTGAGAGGCGGAACAGATTGAAAGCAAATTTGATGTGGAGGAGGAGGGTAGTAGTAGTACGCTGCACACGCACGCATAGGGCAGGAGGGCGTGAAGACCCCCGCCGCTCTTGGCTCCTCTGCTCTCTGGCTGGCTGGATTTGGCTCTCTCGCCGGAGGCGGCGAAGGGAGTGGGAAGAGGTGCTGAACGACGCACAGATACGGCCGGCCAGCGATCTGTCGTAAGCGACACTGTAGCGACGTGGTACTGCAGCGAGTCGTAAATGTACCCGCTCGGCACTGCAGCGTTTTATTTATTCCTTGGATTTTTGAAAAAAACAAAACCTTCATTGACAAGTGAACATTTTTCGAAATGCGATTTTTCTTTGAAAAATTGAACATTTTCTTGAAAACCAAACGATGTTTCAAATTTTCAACATTTTTCCGGTAAGAGCTAACTATTCTTTAAATCCCAAACATTTTTTAATATCAAAAAAAATCTAACAATTGTGAAAAATATTTCGAAAAAGCAAACTTTTTTGAAAACACGAACTATTTTCCAAAGTTATGGATTTTTTTTGTAAAATGAGAACATTTTTCTAAATTGTAAACACATTTTTAAATTGTGAAATAATTCTGAAAAACGCGAACAGTTTTTGAGATCCTAAACATTTTTTGTAATTCTGATTATTTTTAATATAATGATTTTTTTGGAAATTTCTGTATTTTTTAAAGATAAAAGAAAAAACCCTGAGAAAACAAACAAAATGAACGTAGCATAAGAAATCTAGTATCCACACAAACCTATTGAACAAAATCATTTTGTTTTCTTGTCATGGAATCAAACAAACTCAAATCCTTTAGGGTGCGAATGGGCTTGATATTCCAATGGTGTGTTTTCCTATTCCTTCGTCTTTAGAATCATGTGAATCAAAGAGAATACATAGAGAAAGAATCAACGCATACACACAAAGAAATACGACGACAAGTAGCAAAGCCGTACCAGCCAAAATAGTCCAGGAAACGTCTCAGGAACGGTCAAAGGCCTTTGATCGGACAGAAACGGCACATAAGGGTATTCTCATAATGGTTTTGATGAAAGAGGGGCAAAACTGAGCACTATTTTTATTAAGGGGTAAAGATGAGGTCGAGTGGAAATTAGGGGGAAAATGAAAATGTCCCAAAATAAAAATAAAAAGGACCCCTCCAGAGGGATCAGCAAAGCAGCAGAAACAACCACTACCAATCTACCATTGGCAACACTAGCATTGCAAAAAGGGCCACAAAGAGCGATGCCTCCATGAAGGGAATTGTGCACAAGCAATGTCGTCACCCGATCAACCACCAAAGTCAGATCACGGGTTTTCATCCCGAAGAAAAGTCCAACTAGCCTCTAGACAACTCCTTGAACAAAGGAAACATACAGGTAATTGTTATTGCCAGGTGCAACCAATGAACGTCAGATCTAGGGTTTTCACATTGTATATCGAGACTCGGTGCCGAAAGAACACAACCAAAAACGAAGACGTCATGTGTTACTGCCCCCACTTGGCGACAACACTGTTGCAATAGACCGATCGTCCGGCTCGCGGTAGCCACATGCACGGTTTTGATGTAGACACACGCAAACAAACTGTGTTCCCAAAACCAGCAATGAAGCACCACCTTCTCCCCATCCATTGGGTGCTTTCTCCTTCGATCCTTGTTGATCTCTTAAAAAACAACCACCAAAAACATCACGACAACACCTTGGTAATCGTGGCAGTGGCCCAATGGTGCCGGTGTATTGTACGATTGAAGGTTCGCACGAACCTCGCCTAGGCCCGTTACCATGTCAACAATGACGGCGACCACACGTGGCATCTCAGAGGCTACACCGCCATCATCCCATTAACTCTGCATGGAGCCGCGCAGAGCAACCATAGTTAGGAACCAGATTCTTCACATCGCTGGCGACATGGAGTGCTCAAAATCGTTCCAATCCGATCGGCTCTTGCACGACCACACACTAGTGCAGAAAAGCCTAGTTATGGTGGCATAATTGGTCTTGTTGGTGTGGGAGGCCGATGCCACCAATATGATGCCAACGACAAAATTTACTAGTGGTGTCAGAGCACAGGTCGGCTGTATTTTAGATACTGATGATGTGTCACGTATCCAACGCGAGCAGTAAGTGTATGTTACCACTGTCGTGCCATATTGCCCAACGCCGGCAATTTGATTTTTTGCTAATAAAAAATACATATGTAGGCTTTTCTAGTTAAACTCTACAAACTGGTACTCATCAACTTAAGTAGTTCAACTTCCCAAAAGTTAGTAGTTCTAAAACTAATCAAGTTAAGCTTGACAAACGCGCATCTTCAACCAAACTAGCTACATCATCACATCTCTTGTTTGAGGATTAACTTCACTTGGTGTAGCTTATTCCTATTGTTGTCCCCCTCTTTTTTGAAATGAGCTTTCTCCATCTTCAGCTCATTCCTCTCTGCCCCGAGGACCTTTGTCTCCTTCTTCAGTTGATCCCTCTGTTCCACAAGTTGATTCCTTTGCTCCCTCAGCTTAAGCATCTTATCGACTAGGTCAACCTTCTCGTCGATCAGTTGATCCCTATCTGCCTTCAGCCCAACATTCACCTCCATTAGGGCCTTCATTGTACTCTCATGAGACTTTATCATCTCGCGGTTAAGCATGGTCACATCATATACCTTATCCTCGACTGGTGTCGTGGTCAGTACATATCCCTACCAAGTCAAATGTTTGAAATCGTTAGATATACATGCGTGTTTGCAATCATCGTGAATGGTTAGATATATGCATGTGTTTGCAATGCTCATGGATGCGTTTGTAATCTTACCTGGTTGGTGTTCCCTTCACATCTGCCGACGTCGGCATACGCCGCGAGTTGCAGGAAGAACGGTAGTGGCTGTTTTAGGCACTCATCGGCTGCAACTACAAAATAATAACTAGTCAGCCATGACAACATATGCCTATAATATGACATTTGACAATTGAATGCAACTAAAAGAATCCTACTTATGCCAAGAGACTATGGATACAACTAGAGTATGAACTAATTAAGTTTTGACACTTGTATGAATGCCACTAGAGTAGAACTAAAAGAATCCTACTTATGCATAGGATGAACTAGTTAAGTTTTGACACTAGCTAGTTATTAGAACTAGGGTATGAATGGCAGATTATGAATGCCACTAGAGTATGAGTAGTTAAGCTTTGGAACTGTTTGGACACTAGTTTTGCCCTGTTTTGGCGGTGTCAAAGCTTTGGCAAACAAAAAAATATTAGTGACTTAACTAGTTCAAAGTTTTGGCACTCTTTTGGCAGTGTCA